TTCTAACCTCTTTGTTCTGGAAGATTGGAAATCTCTTCCCACCCCGTTGGAGGAAGGCAAAAGAGACTATGTTCCAGTTCACGACAATGGTTTATTTGACAGTTCTAAAATAAATGTTCCATTGTTACCACTGCAAATGGTGTCTGGTTAAGTTGTTGGGAAAAAGGAAGTGTCACACGATCGTCCTACCGAACCCTCACACATTGAGATCCCTATTCCTGTCCATTAAAATGATGGACAGGAATACTGAAGGTGATACCTCTCTGCTGGTAGAATGGCTATGCTGGCAACACCCACATGCTGTATTGGGGGAGTTCTGCTCCTGTCTCTGTGTCATGGGGGTGTGTCTAGTGTTTCTGTCCTATATGAAAGCCTTTCAACTGTTGTAACTGTTACAGAATTACCCCAAGAATCTGAAAACAGTGGCCGGACTCCTATGGGGTTCTTACTCCAGAGTAAGCAAAAGCATTTTAAGCTGCAGCAGCAAATTGCACTTAATCAACAAGGTGCAGGTCATGTGCAAGTTTGTATAACTGGCATAGTGACCAGGCAAGCAACAGCTATTTGTTAATTAGCAGCAATTTGTTGCCACAGCTTGAGTGATTTCACTTACTCTGGAGTGAAATCCTAGTAGGATTCTGGCCAATAATACTTTATGACAGTATCTGTCATATTTTTAAAAATGAAGATATAATATATTCTAGGTTTTTAGCGGATGTTAATTTTTAGTTGAGATTTCTGGACAAGGAACTGTCCAGTTTACATCCTGGTTCATTTCCTGTTTACATTAAATCTATTTTGCACCACCACCATTATATCACACAGTTTCTTCAGGGTGTATTTCCTTTCACTTCTCAAACTGACATTGTGACACAGCCGAGCTATTGTCTTTTCAGACAAAGCAATCTAGATACCTATTTACTTGTAACAGAATTATGTAAGATTGTGGAAAAAAGGCTGATACAAAACAATGGTGACAATAAAAACTGTGAGAGATTCCACCATTTATTTTCAAACTGAGTACTGACTAATACATTACTTTATTAGTTTTGTATTCACATTTCTGTTTGATAAGAGATTGCATGTGCAATCCTATCTGTACGTACTTGGAAATTACTTGACATTCAGTGGTACTTATTTCCAAGCCAACAAGGACATGATCAAGCTGTAGCTTGGCAGCACATTATTGAAATATAATGAATTTGATATCAAGGAATTCTGCATTCCCAGCACAAGATGCAAGATTTAAGTAACTTGACATAATATACATTGTACAATGTGTTCTGATTAAATTTTTGTTATCAGAAATATTGGAATAGTAGTGATTGGTGGCATATGTTTTTTGCTCTCCTTGTTAGCTTCTTCCGTTACCCCTCAGTGACTTGCTAAATATACTTTGAGAATTGTGTAGTGGTAACATTAAATAGTAAAAGATGCGAGCCATTCAGGAAGTTTGGATATTTGACTAAATAATATTTTAAATGCAGATGTGTCTATTCCACTAACTTCTAAATATGGCAGAAATTAAAGAAGGAATTTTGTCTTGTTAAAATAGGATGTTACCTGGCAGCCTGTATTGTGTGCTAACATGCCCTCAGTTAAAGTTTTACCTTACCCATGAACCTGATTCAAAGGGTGATTTTAAATGTTTAACTGTTTCTGAGGTGTACTGAAAATTCCATTAACACTGTAAATTGATTTAGATTTATGTAATTCCATTCTTCCTCCAAAGAAGCCCAGGGTGGTATAGATAACTTGTCTCTAATTTTCTCCACATCATAGCCCTGAAAGCTATGTAAGGCAGAGAGGCTAAAGCAAACCTCTCCATGAGCTTCATGCCTGAGAGGAGATTGGCCTCAGGCTTTGACTACCCTCAGTCAGTCCAGTCTTGAAAACAGCTAGAAAAACACATTGTCTTACTGACAAGGTAATTTCCCTCAGAACTGTGTGTAAACCAGTGGCTTCTAAAAAATCCAAAACATGCAACCTGATATAATATCTATTTATTCAGAGATAAGTCCCACCAAATTCAATGGAACAAAATCCTGGTTTACACATGTAGTGTTAACATACAGTTTCTCTACTCTTTACGACTGAACAAAGAACATGGATTGACCTAGTTGATTTTTTTTTTCATGGACAGCATATTACAAATGCTACCTGTGATATGGTAGTTCTAAAAGGCTGATACAAAAAAGAAGTAATAACTTGATAAATATGTATGTATCAAGCCTTACTACATGTGCATGTATATGGGTTTGCAGCCCAAAAGCATACTGGGCATCTTGTCATAGTTAGCCATAAGCAAATTGTAACAATGTAGTTCAGGGGTGTCCAACCTTTCACCTTCCCTGGGCCACATTAGAAGATGAAGATTTGGTCGGGGCCGCACATACATTTGGTTTGGGCCGCATGGGGGGCAGCCCTAGCCGTCCTCCGCAGCCCTGCTCGAAGCGCGCTTACTGGCAGCTGCGATCTCAGACAGCAGTGGCTGCCAGCTTCGACTCCGGCGGCTTTATGGGGCTGGGAGGGGGTCCACCTATTGACGGGGATGGCGCAATGCAGTCACGCAGCCCCCTGTCCCCTCCCCTCCCACTCCTTCCTTCCTTCCCTCTCCCCCCTCTACTGTTGTGACATGCCCCGGCCACATTCCGGCTGCAAGCGCCAGCAGTGTATCTTGAAACTTTGGAATTTCTTTAAAAATAAAAAAATTGCACTGGGCCGCATTATGAGCTGACCTGGGCCGCATGCAGCCCTCGGGCCACGGGTTGGACAAGCCTGATGTAGTGCATATCCACTTGCATGGTACACTACATAATAAACATTTGTTTCTTCTTTCTGCTCCCTGAGACACAGTGTGAAATAAACATTTTTTTCAGTTTAAACAACATCATGGAAAAGAGCAATAGGGTCAAATTCTGTAACACATATTCATTATAACTGTAGTTAGTGAGGCAGTTTAAGAATTGTAACTGCAGGGTTGTATAAAGCTGCCACATTACACTTCTAAATACAATATTAAATTGAAATGATAATTTGGAAAAAGAGACTTTGGAAGACATCATATAGTATATTTTTAAAGACAGTTTGTAGTAGTCAAGAACTGTGGAATAAAACAACAGAGGGTACCATGAACAAATGTTCCATTATGGCAGATCCATTAGTTCTTTCTTAGTAAAATGAAATATGAGTATGTGCTGGTACATTACAAATAAAGGAATCTAATTCTAGATGCACACCTACTTGGAATTAAATCCCATTAAGTTCTTAATAAACATCAATTTATGTTTTATAGACTACAGCAAAGCCTTTGATTGTGTGGATTATGAGAAACTATGGGCTGTTCCAAAAGAAATGGGTGTTCCTCAATACAGTACTTGACTGTAACCTGTACTGTGGATGCTACCATTTGGACAGAATATGGACAGATAGAATGTTTTCCTATAGGCGAGGGAGCATTTTATTCTGTTAACCTGTTCAATTCAGAGTCAGAACTTATCATATGGAAAGCTCAAATGAAGGAGGAGTGAAAAGTGGTGGAGAAAACATCAATGATGTAAGAAGAGCAAATGACTACAGTGGGGTCTTGACTTGAGAACTTAATCCGTATTGGAAGGCGGTTCTCAAGTCGAAAAGTGTGTAGGTCAAGTCTCCATTGACCTACAGTGCATTGAAAACCGATTAATCTCGTAAACAGGCCGTTTTTGTTCCATTTTGGTTTTTTTCTGGTCTGTAAGTCAATTCTCAGGCTGCAAGTCAAACCTAATTTTGCGGCCAGAGAAGTCTATAACTCAAAAAGTCTGTAAGTCAAGGGTCCACTGTACCTTATTGGCAGAAAGCAGTGAGTGACATGGAATGACTTTTAGTGAAAGTGAAAGAAGAGCCAAAGCAGGATTGGTGTTGAACATTAAAAAGACCAAAATCATGACTACAAAAGAACTACACAACTTTAATGTTGACAATGAAGAGCTTGAAATAGTTAAAGATTTTGTATATCTTGGTTAAATCATCTATCCAAAGGGAGATGCAGCCAAGAAATCAGGGGAAGACTGAGACTAGGAAGGGCAGCGCTGAAGGAATTTGAAAAGATCATCCAGTGTAAATATATGTCACTGGAAACCAAGATAATCCACACTCTTGTACTTCTGATCACCATGTATGGGTGGGAAAGATGGACATGAAACAACCTGACAGGCAAACTGATTTGTTCCTAATGTGGTGCTGGAGGAGAGCTTTGTGGATACCCTTCATAGCCAGAAAGATGAACAATGGATCCCAGAGTAAATCAAGCCTGAACTATTTCTGGAGGCAAAATTGTTGAAACTGAGGGTGTCCTGCTTTGGGCACATAATGGGAAGGCATGGTTCTCTGGAAAAGACAATGCTGGGAAAGCCTGAAGACAGTAGAAGAAGAGGAAGAAATGTGAGATGGATTCACTCCCTAAAGGAACCCACAGGCTTGAGTTTGCAAGAGCTGAGCAGGGTTGTTGAGGATAGGACATGTTGGAGATCGCTCATTCATGGGGTCGTCATACGTCAGAGGCGACTTGAGGGCACATAACAACAAACATATAGGAACAGACACCAGATAAGACTCTTAAATAACGCTCCATGTACGTATCTTGTAAATGTTAACGTAATCTCTGTGAAGCTCGCTGCGAGCTCCAAATACCAACTACTACTCTCTAGAACCTGAAGTGAGGGTCGTGTTCACTTCTCCCCACTTATTTTCTTTTCCCCCTCCACTGAAACCGCATTGGTATGTCCCAGAGTCCTATTTATCAAGCGTATGGAAGATCCTATCCACAAGGGAATAATTTAGGGGTGGGAAAAGGAAGTTTCTCCAGAGGTAAAAAGAGAGGGGGAGGGACTGATGGGTAGCTAAGCCAATAAGAACCACCTTCTCCTGTGATAAACCAGTAGCAGAGTAGCACGCTCGGGCGTGTCACATCAACACGTTAAAAGGGGGGGGAATGAGCGGCTGCTTGCGCGGCTGCGCAGAACGGAAAAGGCGGAGGGGAGGGGGGAGCGGTTGAGGGGAGAGTCGGGTCGCTTAATCTTTTCGCGTTCGGTGTTGGCGGCGGAGTCGTTGGAGAGGGAGGGGCAGGCGGTGGGTGAGGAGGGGAAGGCTGGGCGACAATGGAGCGGGAGGCCGGGTGGCGCTGAGGGAAGTTGTTGTGTGTGTGTGTGTGTGGGGGCTGTCGAGAGAGAGAGGGAGGCGGTCGGAGAAGGAGGGCCAGGGCGGCGGCGGAAACACCACTGCCACCTCCAGAGGCGGCAGCAAGAAAGCCGGTTTGCGGGGCGGCTTCTCAGGCTGGGTTTCTCCGGCTCCTCAGAGGCTAGGAGGGAGTGGAGGGGAAGAGAGGAGAAGGCGGCGGCGGCGGCGGAGGAGGAGGATGGAGCAAGAGGAGATCCTGAGGAAATTCGTCCAGCGGGTCCGGGCCATGAAGGACACCGACCACAATGGGGAGGACAACTTCGCCACCGACTTCATGGTAACCTTTGGTTGGAGGCCGGGATGGAAGAGGGATGGGGGTGGTGTGGTGGTGACTGGATTCTGCCCTTTCCTTTCGGCCGGCTGAAGACACGGGGAGGGGGGGACCCTAAATGAGGAGCGTCCCTTGCAAGGCGTTGCTGTGGAAGCCCCCACCCCCACCCTTCCAGCAGATCCTCCTTTCGGGATCTACTGGATGCGCCTCCTTCCCCTCCCCCCCCAACCCCCGTTTCTCCATCCGCGCCGTGTGTGGAGGCAGCTGGGAGGAAGGGCTGCATCCTTTTCCCTTTCCTCACACAAATGCTTGCAGCATGAATCCCTCAGCTTTTCTATGGGTGTGTGCGCGTGGTAAGGAGAGGAGGACTCGGCTGGTGTCCGTTGCGTGCAATATATTATTGCTATTGTTTGCGATTTCCTTTCTTTCCTCTTCCAAAAATAAAAAAACGCACAATGCCTGTGCATTCATGCACTGTATGTAAGAAACAAGGTCGTAGGGGTCTATCGGAGAGATTTCTTATCTTCTCTGTCCGCCCCTCCAATTCTGTATTAGTTTTTATGGGTGTGTGTGTGTCGGACTCTTGCAAAGTCTTCTTGATTTTCCCTTTTGTAATTTCTAGATGTAATCTAATTCTTTCACCCTTCCCCAACACTTAAAAGCTGCTGATTGGATAGGTATAGACATAGGTTCTAACCGTACTTATCTTAATGTCTGTTGATAATTCTCTATTATTAAAGGAGAGTACTTTGCATTCTTGGATGTTTGACTATATATGGATAGTACATAACAGTAATCATGATCATAATGTAAGTTGTTGCAAGGGTTGTTATAGGCACAATGTTTAGTACCACAAATGTAAAGCAGAGGGAAGCATTTGAGAATACAAGCTTTCTTATTTGTATTGTTCAGTTAACTTCAGAGTGAAGTCTTATTTCCGTTCAAGATCTGGTCAGTTGGTGGCTAGGGAGTGTGTATTCTGAGGCAGGTGTCAACCCAGGGATTGCCCGAAATGTGAAGAAGTGGCTGCAGGATATTGTGAAAGACTTAAGGGTGCTGTTGAAAATTGTTTCAAGTCTGAGGCATGGAAGAGGAAGTGGATTCCTCATCCTGGTTGGGGAGGCATGGGAAAGAGAAATGTCCCTACTGTCTGAAAGGATTCTCTTGTTTCTGGATTAAGTAGAAATGGATGTGGAAAAAAAAGTAGAAGCTTGTATATTTTATAAAACTCAAAATACTTAGAATGTCTAAAGTTAAAATAGTTATCTTGATGCACATTTTCAAGGTTTTAAGATATTTCACAATTTAGGGATATTTACTCCTTAAAGCTGGAAACATTAGCTATAATGCTGTATTGTGTTTAATCATAGTTGTATTGAAAGCATAGAACATAAAGTGGCAAAGCATATGTTCAAATACTGCTGTGTGATCTTGTAAACAAGGTTACAGGGAATTAAAACCAGTTCATATGAACACTGCTGTTCAGATAAGAACTTAATCAAAACCACTATTAACACAATGCGGAATTTGACAAATTTAACTTACTGTGTTTATTTGTTAAGTACACAGTATTAGAAAATAGTTTATTTAAAGTCCACCAATAGTACTGTCTCCCTGCAGCAAGGAGTGAAAATTACAATTACAATTACTGTATAGGGAAAGTTGATTACAAGTATTATACTGATGTCTGCAACACTGAAACAATGTGCTGCACTAAAATGTACTAGCTTAAAATGTTCTAGAAATACTTTGTATTTCACTGGAGCCACCTGCATTCTTATGTTAAATGTCTCTGGGTGAAATAAGGTTTTTGCACCCCATTTCTTAATAACAAAAAGATTATTTTTGGAGTGTGCTGGGAATGGGAACATGAAACACTGCATTATCTTTATTGAATTTGCATGTAGTCTTTCAACCAGTTCATTTCTAGGTATCTTCACAATAAAATAGCTCTATTGAGCTATAGCTCTATTAAGCTATTTAGGCTTATGTTTTTGGAGTCAAGCTATTTTTCTGTGACCAGACTTTATAGTCCCTTAAATTGTAATTGTCATTGACTTGTCTGTTCTGTTTGACACTCCTGTCTGAAAAAAATCTTCATTGAATTACTTTTTTTTCAGTGGCTCACAGGAAAGTCATCCTCTTTTCCAGGGGTGTAAGAATCTGTCATGCTTTATTTGCACTTTTAAAAACTCTCCCCAGTGAGGTTGTTTTATTTTCCTGTATGGAAACTAGCATATTTTTGTAATTTTTCTCCTTCCCTGAAAGCATATGCAAGTTATATACATTTTCATCATTGACTAAAATGTATTGGTGCCTATTTCTCAAATATACCAAGTGCAATATTTTGAAGTGCATCATTTGTATAAAAAAAATTTCTTTACCAAAATTGATCAGAATTTTGGGAAGTGCCTGAATCAAGTTCTTCTCTATCCTATTATCAATCTTGGAAAGTATGGAATTTATGTTTTATATGTGTGGGGTTGTCTGTAAAGCCACTAGAATTTATTTTCCATTCTTATTCTTGACTGACGTCCTATGTATCAGATACACTTTTGTTTCCTTAGGTTGTTTTTCACTTCCCCTTCTGTCTTCAAAGGAATTGGAAGGAAATTCTTTGTTTCTCCATTTATTTCACTATACAGTCTTGCAGGTAATCAGGCTAACATTTACAGCCTGCTGCCCTATCATTTATTCTACTCCACCTTCTGTGTGCAAACTGTACTCTCATCTGCTTTGTTAGCATCTTATCTTGTGTGTCACAGCATCATTTGAAGTTGAGTATGGAGAACATTTGAACCAAACTGCACTTCTAACACTTTTGAGAAGACTTTCTCACTTGTCTGAGGCCTGAAATATCAGTAGTAATTTTGGCTGTTTATAGTTCTCCTGTATTATGTAGTTTTAAAATATTGATTAACACCTAAGAGCATTCAACTCCTCTAAAATAACATTCTTTTAAGAGTAATGAATTTTATTTGACATAAACTTTAATAAAACCAGGTCACTCTTTCAGATGCAACTGCATCAGCTGTAACTTCTTCAGATTCTTCACTTGCATCTGAAGAAGTGGGCAACAGTCCACAAAAACCTATGCTAAATAAAGCTTGTCAACCATAGGATTCTTTGTTGGATTTATGGCAACAGACTAACATGACTACTTCCTTGAACCCATTCATCTTAGCACTGTGCCTCAACTCTTGTTCATGTTATTGATCAAGAGTACCATGCTTTGTTCTTGCTGTAGCTCCCCACTGTGATCAGTTCAGAATACCTCTTGTAAACTTGAATAGTATTATCCCTCTTAAGGTATCATACTGGTTGGTTGATGAGCTGACCTAAGTTTATTTGTTACATTTATATCTCACATTTTTCCCAGTGAACTTGAGGTGGTAGGTATGGCTCTGTTTTCTACGGTACTGAAAAAATTAAATTTTAGATTGAGCTAGGATTGGAGTATGATATAGAATCAGAAGACAAGACAGGAAGGAGCCTTGTTCTACCTTCTTTGGTTTCATGCTTTCAGATATTGTGGCCTACACTTCCATCATCCTTGACCTTGACCATTCTGTCTGTGGTTGAATGAAAGTTGTAGTCTGAAGCATCTGGAGATTGCTAGGTTTGAGAAAGCTGCTCTAGTTGCCTATCTTTAGCGGAAGAAACTTGCAAACAGCAGTCACAGAAACTGTAAGTTGTTAGGATATAGTGTCATAATATTGGCCGGTTAAAGAGCTGTGGAAGAAAAAAGATTGAACTTAAATTAAGTAAAAGTCAGCCAAGATTTCTGATTGCTCCCAGAGGTGTCCAGAAGGATGAACAATGATAACAAATATGGGACATTTGCTAGGGCTGATAATTACTGAGCAAATGGCTCAGTAGTGGAATAAAAAAACCATAGGTTGAGGACATAATGATGGTGCATTTGTGGCAAGGTTTCTGAGAGTTAGTGCCCATCACACAGATGCAGAGTAAGGCAAGGTAGAGTGTTGCCTTGAAAATGGCCAGGTGATATTGATGGAGTGAATGCTATGGAGTTTTGTGCTGGAATTCAGGGAAAAAGAGGTTCATGGCGTGTAGTGTATCTGTTTGGCATGTGGAAGGTCCCAGCTTCATTGGCTAGCATCTGCTGAAGAGGTCAAGGTATAGTTGGTCGGAAAGTGCCTGAGTCCCCAGAGGATAGCTGCCAGTTACAGTGAATACTAGATTAGATAGCCACTGGTTTGACCTAGGTAAAGGTAAAGGTTCCCCTTGACAATTTTTGTCCAGTCGTGTTCTACTCTAGGGGGCGGCGCTCATCCCCGTTTCCAAGCCATAGAGCCAGCGTTTTGTCCGAAGACAATCTTCCGTGGACACATGGCCAGTGCGACTTAGACATGGAACGCTGTTACCTTCCCACCGAGGTGGTCCCTATTTATCTACTTGCATTTGCATGCTTTCGAACCGCTAGGTTGGCAGGAGCTGGGACAAGCGACGGGCGCTCACTCCGTCGCGTAGATTCGATCTTACGACTGCTTGGTCTTCTGACCCTGCAGCACAGGCTTCTGTGGTTTAGCCCGCAGCGCCACCACGTCCCTGGTTTGACCTGGTCTAAGACAATAACATGTTTAAGCATGAACATAGCAGTAAGTGATAGCCTGTAGTCACAAACCAAAGATAAAAACTAGAAGTGGCTAATTAGCTTGGTTATCAGCATGAACTGTTGAAGGAGCAAAATGGGAATGTTGTCAGAAAACCAGTCATGTGTTTGTAGGAAGGGTGAAAGGGGAACAGGAGATCTGGGGAGTAATATAATACAAGAAGATAGAGTTGTAAAGTGAATAGGCACACATTAACCATACAACATTTGAATGAGAAAGCAATAATGAGAGCTTGGCACTTGCATTAATTTTTTCAGAGGGCAGCCATAGGTGTTTGTAATGTTTCTTGGATATCTCTGCCCCAAGTTGGTCTGTAGAATGAATGGAGTAATTCTTACTGCTGATCCACTTAGTCCAGCCTTAACCCCC